CTGCGCTGGCGAAGTGTTGCATCCCTTCGCGTTCTCCTTTACTCAGCAGTTCATAGTCCATGTAAATCATTTTTAAAAATGCTACATCCAGCTCTCTTTTTCTCTCCCTTGTTATGGTTGGGCCTTTGCGTGCAGTGAAGAAACTTTTGAATTCCTCAACCCTTTTCTCTTGTTGCTGCTGCTGCTCCTCTTGCTCTATAAAATACAAATTCATGGACGACACAAATTAAATTAAACAAACCATATATTAGGCCTACTTTGAATGACAAAACGAATTTGTTTGAATATTAGGCTATATTTACTTTACACTTTTGTTACAAGTTACCCTATTCAACTTGCTAACCTTTTGCTTTCTTCCCAGCATGTTCACGTAGCACACTTTCGTGTTTTCGAGAGATGTGTCTTTTTAGATTCCAAAATGAATCTTTACTGACTGAAACGATGTCACTACATTCTTTTTCTTGAACCACATTATCATTTTTTGTTAGTTTTATATTAATAGTACACCTGTATGACTTCTCATTTTCCTTTTTGAAGTACTTGGTGAACTCCATTATTGAGCCGAGTTTTGACTGAAAATAGTCTACTGTTGATGACTGTGCAAGACACAGATGGATTCTGGGTCAGGCTTGAGCATGCTTCAGACTCGTGGTGTGAGCGGAGCGAAATTGGAGCGGGACATAGGGCGACGCTACGTCCTTTTAAAAATGCCGCTCTGCGCTCTGTCCAAAATCCGGCCGCTCATGCTCCCCGCTCCACTCCGCTCGCCCCCGCTCGCTCCTGCTCCACTCCGCTCGCTCCCGCTCCACTCCGCTCGCTCCCGCTCCACTCCGCTCGCTCCCGCTCCACTCCGCTCGCCCCCGCTCGCTCCCGCTCCACCCCGCTCGCTCCCGCTCCACTCCAATCACATGCTCTGGTTAGAACACAGGGTCAGGTTATTTTAGCCTCAGCTATAGATTCTCTCTTTCCTCTCTGTTCCTATTCTCTTCTCTTCCCCTCTGTTGTGGAGTCCCTAGTTGCTCCACACTGCAGATGCTGTGTGCTTCAGTACAGAGACTAAGACGTTATTTCTGAATGGCTCTGTAATTGCATTAGAGGACCTATCACAGGCTGTTAAGATCAGCCAAGTTAAACATTAAGATATAGTCCTATGCACACAGAGCAAGGCAGAGTAGAGCAGAACACGCACACACACACACACACACACGCACACCTACGCGCACACACACACACACACGCCACACCTACGCGCACGCACACACACACGCACACCTACGCGCACACCCACACACACACACACGCACACATACGCGCACGCACACATACGCACACACACACACACACACACTTAAACACTATCACATAACACAATCACAACAAGATTTCAGGTGAGAAGCAGTATGCAACTGGATGTAAGACTTGTCTTCCTCACACACTCTACCGTTTGTTTACACTGATCCACTGTGGAACAATAAGCACACTGACCTTTCGGTTCTCCTCTCTCTGCTGGAGATGCCTCATAGTGTGTAGGTGTGTTTGTGTGTCTGTATTTCAGGGCTACTGTACCGTGTGTAATGTGTACGTTTCCCCTCATGGTGTGTGTGTGTGTCTATCTTGAAGCAGTGTTTAATGTTCGTGTGTGTGTTATACGTGTATAGCTGTTCGTATTACTTCTGTATGTGTGTGTTTGTGTTTGCCATGTATGTGTGTTTCTAGTCGGGGTGGAGCGGAGAGAGATACTCTAATCCCTCTCCATTGTTTTAGTGCACGAAGCGCTATCTCTTGTTATCAGCCTCCCTCCCGCTGCACACCGCCCCCTCCACCACAACTAAACGCAAACACAATACTTAACCGGCTTAACTTGTAAGACTCTACGCTTGTACCAGGCGGGAGGCGGGAACGAGGGATGGAGAGAGGGACAGGAGGGATGAAGGGAAAGAAGGATGGGGAGAGGGACGGAGGGATGCCGTGAAGGAGGGACAGATGGCGAGAGGGACAGAGGGATTACATTAATTGAATTAAAGAATTAGAGGGATGCAGGGAAGAAGGGAGGG